CTGGGCATGGGACAGTCTTAATGAAGAACTCTTTCCCACCAATGCCAAGAGCATCCCCTATTAAAAACCTCCAACGAAGAAGGAAGGGCTGAGAATGAGAGAGGGTCAGTTCAGCCAGCCTGTGGCAGAACCAGCAGAGAGAGGAAGAGAGGGAGATAAACATCAATGTGTGATTGCCTCTCACATGCCCCCAACCCGGGGCCCTGTCCACAACCGGGGCATGTGCCCTGGTTGGGAATCGAATCAGCAACCCTTTGGTTTGCAGGCCAGCGCTCAGTCCACTGAGCCACAGCAGCCAGGGCGGTGCGTGCTGGTTTTCCTCGGAGCTTCTTGCCTCTCTTTGAAGTCTGCCTGGCACCCGGGGGCTGCCCAGTGTGTCCCGTCACTTCCTACCGTGTTCTGCCACATCCCTCCGTCAGTCCCCAGGGGAACCCTGACTCAGCAAGCACAGCAGGTCAGGTAAAAGGAAGTGGGGGAAGCGTCACTGCTGCTTGTCACCACGTCCGTCCATCTGGCCTAGTTCCCAACAGGCAGGGAGTCAGTCAGCCCCCTGGTGGGTGTGGACCAAAGCCACGGCTCCGCCAGTGGGCTCACTAGGTAGCTGCAAAACCTCTGCTGCCTTCAGGACTTGGGTACAGGAGAGGTTTGGATCTGACCTCCAGCCTGAGGGAACTTCTGGGCTGCTTCTCAAAGAGAGAGCACCCTAAATCCTTTCTGTCCTTCCTCAAATTCAGGAGAAACCGATTCTCCTCCAGACTTGGCCGAAGTATTTCAGTTCAGTTCCGAGCCAGTGGGAGATGGGTGATTCCCACGGCAAGGTGTGGGTCACAGGCTGGGCTCCTGGAGCTGGGAAGTGCTCAGGTGATGCCAGCTGCCCTCCATGAGCACCTGCTGTCTGTAGGGCACTGTGCCAAGCATTTTGTAAAATTAGTTTATCCCATGCTTATGACACATTAGCAAGGGAGGTATCATTATCCACATTTAATGAATGAGGAAACTGAGGCTTAATGAAGTTAAGTCACAAGTCAGCTGCCTCATTGATGGGTCAGGCATCTGGGGCCAAGAGAGAGGAGATGACCCACCCAGAGTGGGGACCGTCCTAAAGCAAGTCTTGTCTCCCTGGGTTGGGCCTGGCTGCTTTGTCAGAGGGTATTTGTTCTGGATATAGGCCAGAGACTAAAGCTCAAATGGACATGTCAGGCCAGCAGCCAGGTTCCGGGCACCAGGCCTCCCCAACATCTGCTCATTGCTGCCATGCTGACTCATGGAGCCCAGAAAGTCCAAATTTTTTAAGACCAACCCAGGTGCCCAGGGACCTTATACTCTGTACTCGTTGACACGCAGGGCTAGAAGAGCTGCTTCTGTCGGGTGTGTGGGCAGGGGACCCACACATGCTCTCCTAATCCTAAACCAACACCCAGTGACAGGCGATAGCATCTGGGCCAGGAGCGGGAAGACCAGAGCTCCAGACCCCCTTCCCCCACCAACCTGGACCCTAACCAGGTCTCACTGTTTCCCTGCACCTCACTCTTTTCACCTGAGGAATCATAACCTTTTGATCCTCAGTGGACAGGGATGGTGGAAAAATTTTCCTTTTGCCCCACGCTCAGCAATGGCAGTTCACCAGAGAGAGCCATTGCACTCTGCCTCCCCTGTGAACTCCGACAGGTTAGCAGGGGCTACCCGGACCACTGTGTGGTGATGGATTAGCACTGTCTGCCGTGGGCCAGGACTGGGGCTGGTGGTACGCGTGCTGTGTGTATACTGAAACTGATCCCCCAAGTGTGCGGCCCCAGGTGAACGCGCAAGGAGTTCCCCAAATGCTCCCCAGAGGTGAGATGCCCCAATAACCCCATTTCTGTGAAGGCTGAGTCCTTGGAGAAATTACGCAGCTGTTGAGAGGGGATTTTACATTGGTTCATGCTTCTCTTAGCCACTTCCTGTCCCCGATAACCGGCTCCAGTGCCTGCTCTGGGGTTTATCTGTAAGGCCACAACTGCTGCCTTGAGGCCTTCCCGTCTCCTATCACGGAGCACAGCGTTCTCAAGCTGCCTCCTGTCCTGGCAGCACCCCTGCTTCTCAGTGCCCCCATTACCGAAACTCACACCGACTGCATGACCCATTCTCAGCGGACATGCAAATTTAGACCTGGTTTATGTGGCTGAGGCAGCAGCTGCCTGTCTCTCCCAGGAGTGCGCTCTGAAAGCAGAAACTCAACTCTCTCTAATGATGGCATTCCAGACATTGTGGCAGGTCAATGGGGACACATCTGAGGATGTGGGGGTGGCCCGACATTCCTCAAATCAGCCAGGCCAGTGAGTGTTCAGATCAGTGTGACCCCACCTGTCACTGTTTGCCGAGCCCTGAGCAGGTCCCTGCTGTGTTTCCTCCTGGGACAGACTTGGTTAGCCCTGATAGGTGATTCCACTCCACCCTACTTCCAAGCTTTCTGGGTCGTAGGGCTCCCCACCCAATCCTGAGGCCCAAGGGAAGAGCCCCGCGCTGGTCACTGGCTCTAAATCACAGAGAACAACTCGGCACTGGGGAGCGTTTTGCGGGATCCTGGTATTTTCCTGAGAGGAGGAACCCCACCTCCACCTAGTGCTCCTGTCCCTTCCACAACCCCTCACCAAATGGAGGCTCAGCTCCTGCTTGAATGCTTCCGAGACAGGGAGCTCAGTTGGAAGGCCTGGGGATTCTAGGCATCTTTTATTTCTTCTTTTTGTCTTTACATAGGCTCAAGTTTCCCACAACGAAGTCATTCATTCAACAAATATTTACAGGCCACTTGCTATGTGCCAGGCACTGTTGAAGCCATTGGGGATACTGCAGTGAGCAAAGCAGACAAAAACCCCAGCCCACCTAGAGCTCACCTGCAATGGTGGGACAAGGCCACAAACCGACCAATAAGAATATAGAGAGTGTCCCGTGGTGAAGGGTTGTGAGGAAGGAGGTCGGGAGCGCTCTGTGTGCGTGTGTGCGTGTGTGCATGCTGCAGGCTGTGAAGTCACCATTCCAGCCGTCAGCCCTGAGAGGGAAGAGTGGGCCGAGGCACATCGTGCTGTGGAAGGGGGGCCCAGGGAGTGGGAACCGCGGGGGCGAGAGCCCTGAGGGGGGAGTGCAGCTGGAGAGAGACACACCAGGGAGGCCAGGGCTCAGGTGGGGACTGTGGAAAGCGGGATGAGGTCAGGAAGGCACAAAGGTGGGGCGGATGGCGCTTGCATAAGCATGGCCTTGGTAGGGCAAGAAGCCACGCTGTTTCCATAGGAAAAGGTTAGATTTCAGTAGAGGCTCAAACCCAGAAAAAGAAAATACCCCAGTCCCATCACGGGGAGCCAAGTGAAGACCACACCAGGAACTGCATGATGGGATCAGCATTTCTGGAGCTCCAACAGCGCCGGGCACGTCATTTGGAGCCAAAGGGCCTGGGTTCCTTCGTTTTTACTATCAATTCTATTGATCTAGGAAAACGGAAACCAACATTGCTTTGTTGGGTAAGAGGCTTAAGGGAAAGGGCTGGGCTTCCTGGGGCATAGTGGGCGTGAGGGAGGGCGTGAGGGTTCTCAGGCCTGGATCTGAGTAAGGGTGCGGAGGTGGGCATGGCCTGGTGCCCTCCCCTGCTCCCTCGGGCCTGTGAGTGCCTCCCAGGACTCTCCTCAGTCTTTGGCAGGCAGAGGAGTCCCCAGACCCTGCATGGGTCCAGGCGTTTGTTATGTGAACCTTAGCGTGAGTCAGCCCCAGGCCCAGGTGTTCAGACCCCCAAGGGCCAACCCCTCACCCTGGGGTGGCCGTTCAGGAGGCCAGCTCCCAGAGGACTCCACTGGGTCCTCATCTTCCTCGCTGAACTGCCCCCTGCCCCGGGAGCATCTACCGCTCAGGTGCACTCCATGACGTGGCAGCTAAGCTTGGGCCGAGGGCTTCAGTTCCAGGCCTCCCTGACCGCCCTGTCTCTTCTGGAATTAGCTGAGGCTGTGACAGGGAACAAGGACAAGCTGAGACAAGGAGCGGACCTACAGGCAGCAACAGGAGAGAAGGTGGGAGATGACGTGAGGCAGGGTTTGAGAAGAGGGCGGTGGAAAGCCACAGTGCAGCCAGCCAGGGATCACGTGGGACCGTTCAGAACTCAGCCCTCCACCAGAGCTGACAAAAGTCATTGTTACCATCACGAACATAGATCATTATCTTCTCGGTGGTATTTTTGGCATGTGTGTGTTTATTTGCTGTGATAGTGGGAGAGCAGGGGCAGGGTCACATGGCCAGGCTTGGCACACTTTCGCCCAGGACTCAGGGAGAGGGTTCCTAGGGAGTCCAGGCCCTAACAGGGATTGCGACCCCCACACCCCCTTCCCATCTGCTGCCTTAGGCCCCAGGTATCCTGCCTAGCTCCGCCCGGCGAGGCGTAGCCACAGAGGGCAGTTATGGCCAGGACCTGATGGAACAGTCAGGACCCTGCCCTGGCCACCAGCTCTTCCAGTGGTCACTGGGGTCAGCTGGACACAGGTTCAAATTCTGACAGTACCCCTTTCTGTACATGTGACCTCGGACAAGTTCTTGCATCCCACTGAGACTAAATGTCCTCATTTGTACAATGGGGAGAGCTTTACAGGGTTGTTTGGAGGATTACGTAAGACCCTGCCTGTGAAGCACTTAGCACGGCTCCGCCCCACAGCAAGTTCCCAGTAAATGTGATCATTGCGATTATTTTCATCATCATTAGAGTCGGCGTGACCACCTTACAATCTCCTGTTGACACAGGATTTCACTGCCCGAGTGTGCATTTGTGTTTATGATTGTGTTGGCACCAAGCAGTCCTTTTTAATTGCTGCTGGCTAACAAGAAAAGAGCAGAGGCGGATTTAATGCGTAAATGATGCGTTGAAGCCAAGAGAAGGCCAAATGATGTAACAGTCCACTGTGCAAACAGAAGTATTGCAGTCATTGAAACAGAGAAAAGTGGTGGGAGCACTGAGTCACCCCCAGCACATGGCAGCGCCCCCAGGTAGGCCACATTCAAAAGGGGGCCTGCTCCCATTGGCCAGCCCCACAGCTCTGCGAGTGGCAGTTTGGTCTCAGCCAAACATCATCCTTCCCGTCGAGCTAATGTTCAATGAATTGTGTTGGGTTTGTAGTTTTGCTCATATTTACTGTGCAAATTTCTCTAGAACGTATTGCTACGTAAAGGCGAGTTGTAATATGCTACCTTACGATAAAAAAGGGAAGTGCTATAAGAATAGAGAGATAAATATGTGTCTATATAGAATATTTTTTTCTTTTTTTGCAGAAAGGAACACCGGAAAGATCCATCAGATCGAATACAAAGCGGTACTCAGGTGTGGAGGGGACTGCGGAGAAGGAGCTAAGGTAGGAGCAAGATTGCTTTATGTGTATTTTTCTATACAGTTTTGACCTTTGAATCATTTTGGGTGATTCAAACCCTAACCATTTTGGGAGAGCTAAAGGCGAATGTGTACCTAATGTAACAGAAATCATGTACCTCAGTTCATATTGGGGAGGCTGTGGGAGTCTCTCTCTCTCTCTCTCTCTCTCGGAAGGGGAGTGAACGAGGTTCAGGTTTGAGACCCGCTCTCAGAAATAAAGAGGCCCATTGCTTCCCAGGAGAACGTCTTCCTAGAATACTCTCTGGAAAGTATTTCTTCTCCCTAAAAATGAGGAGGTCAGGAAGACCAGCCCTGCCCAGGCTTGATAAGGAGAAATGTCTGGAGCACAACAATGTGGCCAGCATTGGGAGACAGCACACAGCCAGCGATGCCCACGTGGCCGGACCGCCAGGGAGCCCGTAGGAAACGCTGCCCACAGCGTGTCTGAAGTGGGTTCTAGAGCCTCCAGCCCCAAGCAGGCATCGGGGCGTGGGGCGTCCCTTGCCAGCCAGCCCCCTCCCCCTGGCCCACTTGCCCCAGCCGGCTGCCCGCATATTCTGCAGGTCATGAATGAGGTGAATGAGTTGGGAAACACTTCCACAGAAGACTGTGCTGAACCCCCAACCTTAGAAGCAAGAGGTCAAAGGAGTGGGCAGCTTGCAAAATAGGTACAAGGTATCTCATGGGCCCCCCCAAGGGCTGCTCTGAGCACAGACAGCAACGAGGGGAGGCTGGCAACTCTCCTCACTAGGGAAAAAAAACAATAACCTCACAGCACCAAAGGAAGAGCTGCAGCGGGGACAGAGGGTTACTCCATGACAGCCTGGGTTTAGGCCAGCGCGGAAGAGTTGGAAAAGCCTCTGTCGCCAGCGCCGGAAGAACATTCCTGCCTTGGAAGGAGGCGGGGTGTGACTTAATCACAGTGGCTCTCGTGACAGGCCAGGCGCTGGGCTGAGCCCTGTGCAGGTATCACCCGATGAGCTGGGTAGCATGGACCCCATTTTACAGATGGGGAAACTGAGGCCCCAGGAGGCTAAGGAATTTGCATAGGGGGCATTATATGAGTTTCAGAGCTGGAATTGAGCCCAGGGCTGGGCTGGGAACCTACGCACTGGACCACCACCCGCAAGCTGCAGACTTTGTGTGGGGGAAGGGCAGGCCTGGCCCACACATTATAGAAATGTCAACCAGGACTCCTGGGAGGGTGCAGGTGAACAGCCTTTTCCAAGAAAACATCAAATGTGAACCAGAGCAGAGCCGCCCCCGTTACAATGTCTAAGGGAACTGCTGGCTGATTCAGCTGTAGTTCTCCCTCTTGTAAAGGCAGAAAGCTTTCCATTGTCACTCCCCAGGTTGGATCTTCTTCCAAATTCCCAGCAAGCTCTCTAGGCCTCAGTTTCTTAATCTATAAAATGGGGATGATAATCGTGCCTGTCTCAGTGTTGTTAGGAGCCATAGATGAGTGTAAAGTACTCAGCATCGTGCCTGACACGGAATGAGGGAGTGAGCTCTCTGTGAGTTTGAACTGTTAACTCAAAGCATCCCTTATTGCCAGCTTCCCTGCAAAAGATGCCCACGGAGCTGTGGTTTAGGGAGAAGACCCTGAGCCCACCCAAGCAGCCGGGCAGTGGGACCCCAACCTGGCTGGCCAACTCTCAGCCTGAGAAGGCTCCGGCTTCCCAGGGCAATGGGCGGCAGCCTATCCTTCCCAGGCCTGCTCAGGAGCTCACAGACCCGCTCACTGCTTTATGAAAGCCACTGTTTCCCCAAGCCAGCATGTAACTTAGGAGGGTCACTAATGGTGACTCCCGCATTGCGCTGTTGGGGGACTTCCACTATTACCCCCTACATGTCTCCCCGGTCGTCCCAGGGGCCTTTTAAAAGGGAGAATTAGAGAAATTCTCCCAAACTGTCCACGGCTCTGAGAGTTTAACTCAACATCCTGACCGGCCTGCCATGTGCTCCATGATCTCACTCTCGCCTACCCCTCTTGTCTCATCACTCCTCACCCTTCGCCCTCGCCCTCTCCCCCAACGCTTTGAGGAGTTTCTGCTCTCCAAGTGCGCAAGCTCACACACCAGGCGTGTCCTCCTGGTTTCCTCTGCCTTGGGAGCCCTCTCTTCACACCTTCGCCTCTTTCTGGAGCCTCTGTTCAAATATCACCTCCCAGAGGCCTTCCCTGATCATCCCAGGGACTTCCCCAGGAACTCCCACATCACCTTCTTATGACTTTTTTCCAGAGTACTTGTCATGACCTGAACCTCTCTCACACGCTGGCTGCCGTTGCTGCCGTCTGCGTCTGTGGCTGCAGCTGGAGCCCTGGAGGAGGTCGTGCACCCAGCAGGTACTCAATCAGTGTCTGAGAATGAATGTGGGAAATGCCTGGTGCACAGTCAGCCCTCCACACATAACTTATCCCCGTGACCGAGCCCTCTCCTTGCTCCCAAGCCTCCCTCAGGGGCTCCTGGGAACTCCATGGAGGTCCTCTTCAGCTCAGAAGCACTCCTCCCGTCAGGGAGAGCCCACCGCAGCTCTCTGACCTGGCAGGCCTGGTACCCTCTGCCCAGCGCAGCCCCCTGGGCACAGGCGGCCTGCTCCCCAGGTGTAGGCTCCGTGCCCCACTGAGGGATGGCCCCACCCTCCTCCAGGTATTGACTGACTTTCCCCAGCACTGTTTGTTTTAGGGATTAAAGTTATAATTCCCAGAATCATTTGTTCCTTTCCTGGCAGCTAGCAGTACATTTGTTATTTTATTTTCCCGAGCCCCTAAATACCGGCCCAGACACTCTGGTTTGACAACATCATCCCTCCTGCTGCCCCGAGCCTCAGGCGGGCCCCTCCGGGGGAGGCCTGCACCCAGTGCGGCACCCCTTCTCCTCCTTCCTCCAGTCAGCCTGTGGCCCACGTTGTTTTCTCCTGTTTTTCTGTTAAGTCCTGTAGTGATCCCCCCCCAGACACACCGCCTTTGTCTGGCACGGTCAAGAAATGGGCTCCCTCATGTTAGTAAATTTTCAAAATAATGTCTTTCAGGCACTAAAACTTTGAACAAACATATTTTTAAAACAGCTTTGTTGAGGTGTGACTGACACCGTGTAAACCGCGCGTGGTTAACGTGTACTGCGTGGTCTGCGTTGCCGTTGGCATACGCCCATGAAACCAGCACCACAGCCTAGATAATGAACACATCCATCGCGCCCAAAAGCTTCCTCCCGCCCCCTGCCCCCTCCCCAGCAACCACTGATCTGCCTTCTGAACACACATTCAGTTCGAAGCTGTCTCCTCCGCTTCCCCACCCTGTAAACAGAGTGTGATCAGCGCGATTGTTCCTCTCCTTGGCTCAGCACGATCATTAACGTTACTGAAAGCCATGTCCTCAGATGTCGTGGAGAGACGTAAGACTGTTTGCCCCGAACACTAAATGGCCCCATTGTTGCACTGCCATGCCCGGCGGTTTGGGGTTTGGGAGTTTCTCCCTCGCTGCCAGCTGTCTCGGTGTGTAGTTCCCAGCAGACCCCTCCCGGGGCCTCGCAGGCGGCACACCGCCCGCCTCCACACCGTTCCTCTTCCTCACTCTGGAGCAATGGTTCTCAGCAGGGGGCGATTTTGCCCCCCAAGGACATTTGGCAATGTCTGGGGACATTTTTGGTTGTCACAAGGGGGGTGGGGGTGCCACTGGCACCCACCTCGTGTTTAGAGACCAGGAATGTTGCTAAACACGCTACAGGCGCAGGACAGCCCCACGGAAACCAGTGATCCGGCCCAAGGTGTCAGTGTGCTACGGTTGAGAAACACCTTCCAGATGCCAGAACTAATTGGAAAAGTCAACAAGAAGTCATGATAATTGTCTGTTTTACTTTTCTGGATCAAGAGGGAGAAGGAAAGGCAGGGGCCTGTTGGAGCTGCAAGGCCACATGGTAGGACACAGATTCTGGAAGATCCTGGCTGCCTCAGGCACCTCCTCCCCACTCCACCAGCCGCAGTCGCTGGCTTCCAAGGACAAGCCCCAAGCGACTCAGCAGGAGGCACCAGGGCCCAGCACTCAGTAGGTGCTCAGTGAATGTCTGTCAGATTAGATTGCACCCAACGCACCTATTAGGTACCCCATTGTGGGTAGCACTGATGAGACATTGGAGGCAAGACAGCAGACACAGAAGGGGGCCATGAAACCAACCAGTGAGTTTGGGATTCAGCAGACCCACCCCAGTAACTGGGGAAATGGGGGCTGGCCATGCTGGGATCCTGTCCCAGTGGGACCAGCCATTTTACCACCAAATCACTTCTAGCTCCTCCCCACCACCCACAGATACCCTGTTTGCCTGTCACATAAAGGAGATTTTCCCCAAAGTGGTTTAGCCAGAACCGGCAGGGCCCTGCCCTGCGTTGCGATAGGAGGAGCCTGGCTGTTGCCCAGCAGTGTTCAGGAGGGACCCAGGTGTGCTGGAGCTGGAGGGTGAGGTATGGACATGCTTTATTCCACTTTGCATGACTTCAAGGCTTTGTTACTTTATTACAAAAGTCACTGTAGACATACCTGGAAACGCGTGGAAGCAAAAAAGAGAACAGAACTTGCAAATCCCACCCTTTCAGAGAAGACAATTCAATTTTGTTGTGTGAACTTCTATGCACGTATGAATGTGGTGTACGCATTTTGATGAAAACCAGGTGTGCGTTTTGCTGCCGAAGGCTTTGTTTAAGGAGCCTGGGAGTGGAGAGGAGGTCTTGAAAGAAGGGGACTCCTGAAAGCACTCCACGGGGACACTGGCCGTGCCTGTGATGAGGGTGACCAGGTGGATTTAACCGGGTGCTTGCTCTGTGGAACCTCCCAGAGTAGCCCCAAATCCAGGGATACGGAGACCTAGCTGGCAGGACACTTTTCTCCAGGATCCACAGCCCCTTCCTTCCTTAGGCCCTGCTCTGCCCCACAGGCTGACGCCTCTCCTCTTGCCAGGCCTCTGTCAGCTGGTACCCATCCTATTGACGGCGGTGTGGGACTGGCCAAGAGACCCGTAGGGCTCCCGAGGCCCCTGGGCTCCAGGGGCCGTTTCAGTCCCTTGGGCCTCAGGGCCTTTCCTGTGGGTATGGCTATCCATTGGGAGCAACAAAGAGAACAATACCTGCCCACAGGACTTGTGCCAGCGAGATAAAGGACCAAGCTGGCTGGCAGTCACCGGCCAAAGCGAGCTGGGGCTCTCAAGAGAGGTCGCAAGGACAGTGGCTTTCACATCCTTCTCAGCCACAGAATTGTAGTAAAATAGAATCGCATGTGAAACCCCGAAATAGGAGAGGGACAGAAGTGGAAGAGCTCCAGGCGAAGCAAAGACAGGTGCTCACTCGCTCAGTCCTGTCCTCTGGGTGATGCACCTCTGAGCAACCCAGTTTTAAGATTTCCTCATTATGCCACAGGCCAGGTTGGAGGGCCAGGCTTGGAGAAACTGGGAAGTTCAAGAGCCTCCTCTTGCTCCTCCTCAGACCCACTGAGGCTCCCCCGGGACCCGCTTCCAGGATGGGTGGGGCACCTAGAGGCAGCCAGCATTGCGTTCTGTCTGGCTTGACCTTTCTTCTAGGTTAAAGGATAAGTGGGAAGAGACTCCAAGGCTAGACGGGGCCAGCCCTGTCCCAATTTCCCCTCAGTGGGTTCTCTTGCTCACAGACTGAGGAAGAACCGTGACTCACTTCCTGCCTCTCTGGGTCTGACTGCAGAAGTATTGTTCTTTCCGTGGGGGCTGCGCTGGTGGGGCTACCCCCGGGAGTCAGCCCCCTGTTGGAGAAAGTTCCCAGTCCCAGGCTTGTCTCCCCGCTCAGCTTTCAGGACCCCCATTCTTCCCCAAGCTTCTGGTGTTTGCAGTAGTTGTAAGGGTGCCCAAATGGTACACTGAATACTGTCTCCATCTTAAAGGGGTAAATTGAGGCTCAGATATTAAGCAATGTGTCTAAGCGGCATAAAATAGCGCAGCAGGGATTTGAACCCAGGTTTGCCGGCTGACGTGTCACATAGTGAGTCATTAGGAGTGTCCCTTAACATCTCTTGCCGTCCTTTCATCCTGTGTAAAACATAGAGTGACACATAAAAGGTACCTAAAGGAAAATAAATGTATTACATCCACCTCCTGGGGCTTGCTGTGAGGAAGAAGTGAGTTACATGGGAAAAGCTTAGAACAGCACCTGGCTCTTAGTAACCACTAGGCTGTGTTCGTTTTTGTCGTTATCCTCAAGCCCGTGTGAAGGAGGCCACTGGCTAATAGGGTGCTGCCAGGTTATCTCCCAGTGAGCAGGAAGGGATGGGCAGAGACCGCTCTGCGACCTTCGAATAACCTAGCCTGGGGAGCTCTTGGCCACGTTTCCCCTCTTGTCTTTCACAGCGCGGGCTGGGGCAGCCTCGCCAAGTAGCACAGACGTTTTCTAGGGCAGGGACCCAGGGACGGAGCCGAGTTGGCTGGTATATTGCAAGTCCTGGGATCCAGGCTCTGCTAAAGCCCTACGCACGTCTTCCGGGCTCTGAGGCCTGCTCCTTTGGGATCTAGGGCAAATTATTTAAACTTTGTACACCTCAGTTTCCTTATCTGTAAAATGGGATTACCGTCATCTTGAAAGGATTATGTGGATTAAATAATGTACATAAGAAGGAGATAATGTGAAGTGAGTGGCCTGCTGCCCGGCAGTCACTTAAAAGGCAGTGGGCTTCCCGTTCTGCTTATCCACCTGCCTACAACGATTCACATGCAAACAAGATCTTGGCTCCTCCAACTGTAGGTCCCGAGGTTGGCTGGCCGCTGGGAAGTTCAATCACAAGTGGGGTGCCCCAGATCCGTCATCCAGGCCCTAGCCCGGTAGTGCCCAAACTCACGGCTCGGGAGTGGGAAGTCGGGAAAGAGGGCCAGCTGCCCCAGGATCCAGCCGAGACTGGGCTCCCAGCGGCTCCTCCAGCCCTTCCCGACTCAGGCCGACGGTTCCGAGTTCGGGTCTCCGCGCCTCCCGCCGGAGGAGCTCGCGGCGCGAAGAGCCGAGCCCGGGGCGCGGGCAGTGGGGCCTGGGGGACGCGCCGGGCGGCCGCGAGGGCTTTGAGATCGCCGGCCCCGCTTCCTGCTCGCCCGTAGCGTGAGCTGGAGGCAGCAAGCGCCCCAGAAGGCCGTAGGGCCGCCGCTGGGGGCTCAGTGCTCCTCCTTGAACGCGGGCCGGGACGGCATGGGCGGCGCGGCGGCGGCGGCGGCGGCGGCGGGACGGAGACAGCGGCCGGGAGCGCGGAGGTGGCGCCGCGCGGGGGAGGGGCGCGGCGGCGGAGGAGGAGGAGCCGGGGCCGCCGCGGCTGACAGCGGCCGGAGTAAACAAGCCGCGCTGCCGCGGCCCGGCCGCTGCCCCCGCCCGCGCCGGAGCCCGAACCCAGGCCGAGCCCTGCCCTGGTAGCCGGCCGGGCCGAGGCCGCGCCGCCGCGCCGCCCGCCTCCGCGCGGTGACGCTGCTGCCGGGCGCGGGGAGCGCGCGGAGCTCAGGCCCCGCCGCCGGGCTCTCTGCTCGGCCGAGGGGCGCCCGAGCCGCCGCGCCGCTCGCCTGGAAAAGTTTCCCCGCCCGGGCTCCCCAAGGTAAGCGGCGAGGGCGCGTGGCCTGGGGAGCAGGACTCGGGTTCCGGGGAGCCGCCGGACTGGGCCCTCCGCCGGGGGAGCCCACCTGAGCGCGCGCCCGCGTTGGCTCCGGCCCTGCTCGCGCCGGTACTTTTCCGCTGGGGCCGGGGCGAGCCCTCTGACCTCAGGAAGCGCCGCGGGGCCCCGCAGAGGGCGGGATGGGGAGAGAATTCCAGAGGCACCGGGCGCTCCCGTCCCCACGCCGTCCCCCAGGGGTCGCCGCCGGCTCGCCCCCTCCGCGCCTGAGGAGGGAGGACCTGCTGTTGTTGGGGGCGCGCGGGGTGGTTCCCGGCGGGGGCCTCAGCCTCGCCCGCACACCTGGGCGGCCGGAGACTCAGGTGCGGGACCGGCGACGATGGGAGGCCGGCTCAGGTAGGTGCTGGGACCGCCTCCCGCGGAGGCCTGGCGGAGGCCCCCGCTGCTCGCGCGAGGTGGCTGGACTGAGGGGCGGCCTGCTTGCCAGACAGGTCTGACAGCAGTCCGTCAGGTCAGAACCTGCTTTCCCTTAGTCCCCTGCTTCCTTGACCCTGGGGGTGTAGATCCTCTTTCTCTGGAGAGCGCTGGGGTCTCTGACCTGGGCAGTAGGATAGGAATCGGGGATGTGGCCTAGTGAGGGCTGGGCAGCTGCCGGCCAGGTGTGTACACGGCACAGGAGAGTAGTCAAGCCTAAGCCTAAGCCTACTCAAGCACAGTGGCCCCAGCCTTACTATTTACTATAATTGGGCCTCCACGTAAGATTTGCTTTGCTTTTTTTTTTTTTTTAAAGGATTCTGTGGCTTTAAAAAAAAAAAAAAAAAAACAACTTTGAAAATTTCTGGTTTAGCAGTTTTTACCACCAAGGAAACTGAGGCTCAGAGAGGAAGTGACTTATCTAAGATCACTCAGCAAATGTGAGTTGAGTGGGGACTAGAGATCAAAATTTCAGGGGAGCCTTTAAGTGTCTGTAACAGGACCTGGCTCGGTTGGTAGGAGAGACCGGAAGGAGAGACCGGATCGGGTTTCCCAGGCAGCCCCGTCTGCGCCAGACCCCCAGTGCCTGGGAAGCGGCAGCAAACCTGAGGGTAGGCTCCGTTTGGGTGCCTTGGCTGTCCGTGTCCGGAGGCTCCTGGGGCTGGTGAAAGAGTGCCCACAGCTCTCTCCGGCCACAGCCGGGAGCCACGTCCCATGCGAGAGGGCATCGTGGAAGGCTAGAAATACAGCGAGAACTGGGACTCAGAGGGTGAGTCAGAGTCTGGGATGGGGGTGGGGAGAAGCCCATTCATTCATTGTTCTCAGCATCTGCTCTTTTGGGAAATGGGGGTCCCTGCCGAGGCAGGGCTGCTGGGGGGTGGCGGGCACCTCGGCTCTGTGGAAGCCATGTCCTCCCCACCCTGGCTGGGAACGTGGGCATAGTGAGCACGCCCTTGCTTGGGGATTGCTCAGTTGTGCCTGAAGCCTGCTTTCTTTCCGGGTGCTGCAAGGTAATTAAATAGTTGGTTGATCACCTTTAACGCCACACAGCTGCCGCTCCACCCACACTGGGCCAGACCCAGATGAGCCAAGTCTTAGTTTGGCGGTTCCAGCAGGCTCGCAGCACTGTGGTCAGGGGGTGACTTTGCATGACATCTGGACCCTAGAAGCAGTCATCATGGTGGCAAGGAGGGGAGAAGAAGCCTCCTTCCCATCTGTCTCTGCCCCCAGGGCCCCCGTGTCCTCTGTTAACTGAGGGGCTTTGGGTCCCTTCACCCCCTAAGGCCAGCAGCCTGGCTGCCCAGCCATTGCTTCGACCAGCTTCCTGGAACTTGGCTGCCCAAGGCATCCTGCGGCTATGGCTTCCAGGCCTGTCCCCAGGAACCCTGTGGACTCTGCTCCTCCGGCGTGAGGAGCTGTGTTGTGGATGTCTCCTGCCATCAGCTGTCAGGTTATTTTGGTGTAAACTGAAAATACTCCAGGAATAGCGTGCTGAGTCCCCCCAGCCTGAACAGCGGGGCTGCAGCCAGAGCAGACGTGCCGCTGGGGAGGCCGGTTGTGGCTGAGGGCAGCCCCGGGGAGGTGAAGGGCTCTCAGGAGGGAGCCCGCCTGCCCAGCTCACAGGGCCCCAGGTGAGCCACGGGAGCAGTGGGGGCGTCCTGGGCACTGTGAGCAGTCCCTGGCACGGAGCTGGGATCTCCCCCAGTTTGTCCCCACCCCAGGAGCTCGGCTTCTGGCTAGTGGGGGCACTTTGTGGGGACAGTTATGTGGCCCCTGGCAGAGAGGTCCTGCTGTCTGTTTGCTGAAGGAGGAAAAACAACACGAGGTCTATTGATTCAGCCTCACCTTGGTGCTCCTGGCTCAGCAGCCAGTGTTTGCCCTGGCTTCCCCGCTCGGATTACGCAAGGCTGGTGGGCGTGGAGTGAGCAGGGGGGCTGCTGGGGGCCTCCAGGCCCAGGCCGGGCAGGGCCGGGCGGCCCCGCGTTCCCCAGGAAACAGTAAAAAAGAGCCTGGGCCCCTGACTTTGATGGTGGCCGAGGGTCTGGGTCATAGAGGGAGGGGAAGCCACTGCGATCCCCATGCTTAGCCCCAGAAGCCCCCATCCCACCTAGGGTCACCCCGCGTTTCTTCCCAAGGGCTGTGCTTTATTGCAAATAGCTCTGGGGCTGGGTCCGCGGGGCTGAACCACGAAACCCTAGTGAGAGCTGTGTGGATGCCGCCTGTTAAGAAACTTTAAGAAGCCAACGTTTTATTCCTGTATAAAATATACCCAGGTAACTTGGAAAGCATACAGGGACACAAAGAAGAAAAGCAGTCCTCGTAATTCTCACCATCTTGAGAGAACCATTGTTAACGTTTTAGTGTGTGTCCAGATTTTGTTTTCTGGTTATATATAAACATAACATGTATAAATAGTTTTTGGAAAACAAAATGGAATCGTGTGTACATACTGGTTTGTAATCCTTCTTTTTACTTTGATTCTAGTGAGCATTTATTCAGTGACTCAAGCCTTGATATATTTTTTAAAGATTTTATGTATTCAGTTTTAGAGAGAGGGGAAGGGAGGGAGAAGGAGAGGGGGAGAAACACCGCTGTGTGAGAGAGACACTAATTGGTTGCCTTTTGCTTGCCCGCACTGGGGACACGGCCCAGGCGTGTGCCCTGACTGGGAGTGGAACCAGCGACCCTTCCGCTCTCAGGCCGGCGCTCAGTCCGCCGAGCCACACCCGCCAGGGCCCGCCTCGACAGTCTTCATCCCACTTCCCTCTTCCTGTGCGGGGAGAGGCTTGGGGGCTGCGTGTGCGGAGCGGCCCCCGCGCCCATCTAGCCGGCCGACCTTGGGGGGCTGGGCATTCGGCCCTCTCCCCCAGAGCCTCTTTCTGGCCTGTGTGGAGTCGCGCGCGGGCGGGAAGGCAGCTTCCGGCCGTGGCTGCGGGACTGACGCTCTCCCGCTTTTCCTCCCTTGTCCCCCGCAGAGCCGGCGGCCCTCATCCTCCCGCCACAGCCCTGCCCGCCTCGGCCCCATGCCCCCACCAGTCAGCCCCGGGCCACAGGCAGTGTGTTGGCACGTGAGCGCCAAGGCCCTGTGACCAGGCCAAGGAGACGCGGGCTCCTCGGTCCCAGTCCCCTCTCCCCCCCATGGAGCTGAGGCCCTGGTTGCTATGGGTGGTTGCAGCAGCGGGACCCTTGGTCCTGCTGGTGGCTGAGGCCCACGGCCGGGAGGTCTTCACCAACACCTGGGCTGTGCATATCTCCGGAGGCCCGGCTGTGGCTGACCGCCTGGCACGCAAGCATGGTTTCCTCAACCAGGGCCAGGTAGGTGCTCTTACCGCCTGCTGGCCTGGGCCTAGCACATAACGGGGGGCGGGCTGAGGAGGGCAGGGGTTCTGGCACTGGGAGCAGGAGCTGTGGGGCTTGTGTTCTCAGGGAATGTTCTGGGTGGTCAGGGGATGCGGGCAGTGGCTTGGCCTGTCTGTGCCCAGAGGTTGCTCAGAGGGCCCGTGCAACCCCAGAAGGGGCAGTCCCGCTCAGTCCCCTGCCCCTTCTTGCTGCGTCCTGGGCAGGAAGCCGGTGCCCTACCAGCCCCTGCCATTGCATGCCTCCCCTGCAGCCTGCTGTCCACCTCTGGGGACTGACAGATGGAAAGCCCAGCTCAGTCCTCCTGCTCTGTTGCAGATCTTTGGAGACTATTACCACTTCTGGCATCGAGCAGTAACAAAGCGGTCCCTGTCGCCTCACCGCCTGCGGCACAGCCGGCTGCAGAGAGAGCCTCAAGTGAGTGAGCCCCGGCCCCCCCTGCTCTGCCCTCCCCTTCCTGCTCCCAGGGGTGCTTCTCTCTTCCTCTCCCTCCTCCGCCCACACCCGTCTCCCCCACCCCCTCGCAGGTCCGGTGGCTTCAGCAACAGGTAGCAAAACGGCGGACCAAGCGGGATGTGTACCAGGAGCCCACGGACCCCAAGTTTCCCCAGCAGTGGTACCTGGTACGTTGCTCCTTGGGCCCTGGGTCCCTCTCCTCAGGGGCAGCCATCCATCCACTGAGGGCTCCCGTAGGTGGGGGAGGCCGGCTTTGAGGCCTCTTCTCTTTCTTCCTCTTTCTGTCTGCTGAGCAGCCTCTCCCTAGCCCGTCCTGCTGAGCCTGGGGCGGGGGGGCCCTACCCTCCCAGAGTCCTTTACATTCCGACGGAGGCCAGGCCACCAGCGGCGGCCTGTCAGGAGCAGCGGTGGGTGGAGAAGGAGCTCTGGGGATGGGGAAGGGACCTTCCAGGCACCCTAACCTCACAGAGCCAGCCACATCTCCTAAGTGCTGGGTGACGGGGGTGGGTGTCTTGCAGTCTGGTGTTGCCCAACGGGACCTGAATGTGAAGGAGGCCTGGGCCCAGGGCTACACAGGGCGTGGCATCGTGGTCTCCATCCTGGATGACGGCATCGAGAAGAACCACCCGGACTTGGCAGGCAATTATGTGAGCGGGTGTGGGGGGTGGCAGTGATCCCTGGTGAGGACGTCTAGGGGTGGTCCCCTGCCTCCAGCACAGTTAGGCTGCCCCTGACAACAACCGTGTCCTTTCCAGGATCCTGGGGCCAGTTTCGATGTCAACGACCAGGACCCTGACCCGCAGCCGCGGTACACACAGATGAATGACAACAGGTCTGAAGCCACAGCCCCTGGCCTCTGCCTCCCTCTTGCTCTTCCACTGAGGAAGCAGGGCTGAGCCTGGGTGTGGACACGTGCCGGCTGAGAGGCTGACGTGCCTGATGCGGCCTTGGTCCTGCTGGGGCTCTGAGGGAGGGTTTGGTCAGAGCCAAGGTGGCCACATGCCAAGCAGAATGTGTGGGAGGGGACTGCGCCCACATGTAGGGCACAGGTCATAGGTGGAGGGCCTCGTGACCCTTCTCCTCAGGCTCCACCTGCCAGGCTCTTCCCACCACTAATGTCGTGCCCTTGGCCCTGCAGGCATGGTACACGGTGTGCAGGCGAAGTGGCCGCGGTGGCCAACAACGGCGTCTGTGGCGTGGGTGTGGCCTACAATGCCCGCATTGGAGGTGGGTGTAGGCCTTGGCCACCGTCTTTGGGAGGGCTCTTTGGGTGGGGTTTTGCTCTGCCCACTTTTCATCTGCCCTGTGCCTGCCACTTCCCCACTGTGGATCCTTTTGACCACATGACTGTTCCTCAGAAGTTCCTAGGAACTTGAAGAGCTGACCCACCAGTGCTGGGGTGGACGAATGTTTCTTAACAAGAGCCTCTCTGCATCCTCACCACCCACTCTGAGTCCTTACATGGCAGGCCTCGGTCACGACGCTCCTTTGGGAACCCAGAGACGTGTTCTGGCCTAGAACGTGTGGCTGAGAGCAGGCGTGTTTTTTCCCCCTCCCTGGCTCTTATCTTTGAGAGGAAGAGGCAGGCCAGGGAGATAGGGCTCTGGGTTTCCCAGCACCAGCCTCTCTCCTCCCCTGAGCATCCTCTGGGTGCAGGGCTAGATTGGCTCCAGGGGGTGCCCCTGGCAGCTGGGCCCCTGCAGCATCCTTCACCCCGCCCCCTCCGTGGCCAGGGGTGCGCATGCTGGACGGCGAGGTGACCGACGCGGTGGAGGCACGCTCACTGGGCCTGAACCCCAACCACATCCACATCTACAGCGCCAGCTGGGGCCCCGAGGACGACGGCAAGACCGTGGACGGGCCGGCCCGCCTGGCCGAGGAGGCCTTCTTCCGGGGAGTCAGCCAGGTGAGGCGGGCCCAGGCCCGGCCTCTGCGGGCAGGCCGCGTGCTCTGTTTTCCGTAGCCTTTCTTCCTTGTTTTTCTGTTCCTGTTTGTTTGTTGTATTTAATTTTATACAAAGTGTGTTCATTAAAGCGGTAAGGGACGAGATGAATAGAAAAGGAGAAAAGTAAATCAAAGTCACCTATGATTCCACCTTCTGGAGTCACCACTCTGAGCATTTTGGTGGTGGTCCAGGCCTGGTTTCTTTGTGCATGGACAGGCATATTAGCGTGTGTACCTGACCCGCCAGGGGAGCTGGGGGGTGGACAGAGGGTCTCTGGGAACGAGGCCTCGCCTTCCCAGTTTCCACCAGTGTCTCTTCCCGTCAGGCCTCCCCCAAATCCTGTTCTCGAGTGACCCCAGCCCACTCTGTCCACAGGGCCGCGGGGGGCTGGGCTCCATCTTTGTCTGGGCCTCGGGGAACGGGGGCCGGGAACATGACAGCTGCAACTGCGATGGCTACACCAACAGCATCTACACGCTGTCCATCAGCAGCGCCACGCAGTTCGGCAACGTGCCCTGGTACAGCGAGGCCTGCTCCTCCACGCTGGCCACGACCTACAGCAGCGGCAACCAGAATGAGAAGCAGATTGTGAGTCTCACCCTGGGTGGGGGCCGGGGAAGCGGGGCTGCCTGCTGGCTCTGCGCAGCCCCATCTGCGTCCCACATGCACGCGGCTGGGTGATACTGGCTCCGGCATCGTGGGGTGCAGGCTGGGGGCGTGGAGCCCCTGAGAAGTGCGGACTCTCCCTAAAGACAAACGTCGCTTTTAGTGACATCCAGCTTCCAGTGCTGTCCCCATGTTCCTCAGGAAACTGAGGCCCAGGAAGGGCCAGACATTGTCCTGTCCCTAGCAAGGCAGCCCTGGGACCTACGTGTCTTGGCCCTGGCTCACCACCTTTCCGGTGGTTCTCAGGGCCTGCAGGCAGAGGGAGGGCAGCCAGGCGGCCCCCCCGCCGGTCCCCTCCGCTCACCCCAGGCTCCACGCCATGTCCTCCCCGCAGGTGACCACTGACTTGCGGCAGAAGTGTACCGAATCTCACACAGGCACCTCGGCCTCTGCCCCGCTGGCAGCGGGCATCATCGCTCTCACCCTGGAGGCCAAGTAAGTGGTGGGTGCGGGAAGGGATCCCTGTCCCCACCAGCGCCCTCTGCAGGGCAGCCCTTGGTCTCCAGGCTCTCTGCCAAGAGTCTGAGCCCAGGCTCTCCCTCCCTCCTTTGTAGTAAGAACCTCACCTGGCGGGACATGCAGCACCTGGTGGTACAGACCTCAAAGCCAGCACACCTCAATGCTAACGATTGGTCCACCAATGGTGTGGGCCGGAAAGGTGAGGACAGAGTGGCTCCTTGGGCTGCGGTGGGAGTCGGTGGGGAGTGCTCTGTGCTTCTCAGCTGACCCCGCCTTCCCTCCCCACAGTGAGCCACTCCTATGGCTACGGGTTGTTGGACGCAGGTGCCATGGTGGCCTTGGCCCAGAACTGGACTACAGTGCCCCCCCAGCGGAAATGTATTATTGACATCCTCACTGAGCCCAAGTGAGCACTGGAGCCTGGCTGGGAGGGGGTGGGTGGGATCTAGGAGTGGCAGGGGGCGTCCTCGGGTCCCTCTGGGCCCAGCTGACAGGCCACCTTGGTGCTGTCTGCACAGGGACATCGGGAAGCGTCTGGAGGTGCGGAAGACTGTGACCGCCTGTCTCGGGGAGGCCAGCCACATCACTCGGCTGGAGCATGTTCAGGCGCGCCTCACCCTGTCCTACAATCGCCGCGGCGACCTGGCCATCCACCTGGTCAGCCCCATGGGCACCCGCTCCACTCTGCTGGCCGCCAGGTGCGTGCCCTGTACCCTGCGCAGCCCTCCCTCGCCCTTGAGCCTGCGTGCATGCTGGGCTTTTGCACATAGTCGGCCCAGACGGCCCCCGCCCACTCTCGGCCGGGCGCTGCAGGCGTTCCAGAGGGATGGTTTCGTCCTGTGGGGCTCCCCCATGTTGCAGGAATCCCTGATTCCACCCAGCAAATGCCACATCTGTGCGCCTTCCGTGTGCTGTGCCCTTGCATAGTTCCAGAAAGTTCTGGTTAAGAACATCTGGCCTATTGGGAATCAGTGCCAACAGGCATTTCCAGCCCAGTGGCCGGGTCGGTGTTGCCGAGGGAGGGTCAGTGCTGGGTTTGGTGCTCCCTGGCCGGGTCCCTGGAGGCCTCACACGGCTGTGTGCGCCCTGCTCCCTCAGGCCGCACGACTACTCTGCGGATGGGTTTAATGACTGGGCCTTCATGACAACCCATTCCTGGGATGAGGACCCCTCTGGCGAGTGGGTCCTGGAGATCGAAAACACCAGCGAAGCCAACAACTACGGTACGGGGGCCACTGAGGGCCGGGGCCCAGGGAGAGCCAGTGGGGTCTGGATGCCGGGGCCCAGCGTCGCTCACTCTGACCTCCTCGCCCACCTGGAACAGGGACGCTGACCAAGTTCACCCTCGTGCTGTACGGCACGGCCCCCGAGGGGCTGCCCACGCCTCCCGAGAGCAGCGGCTGCAAGACCCTCACGTCCAGCCAGGCCTGCGTGGGTCAGTACTGTACTGCGCTGTGCGGGTTTGGGGCCTGAGGCCGGGGGGATAGAGGGTGCCTGTCCCAAAGCCGTGCCCTGGGAGGAAAAGGGGTCTGAAGCCCTTGGGGTGACCCCGTTCTGGGGCTTGGCGCTCCTGGGGACTGTGGTGACGGGCCCTGGTCCTGGGGCCCCCCGGGCAGCGCGGCCGACACCTGCCTTCTCTCCCGCGCCGGCAGTGTGCGAGGAAGGCTTCTCCCTGCACGAGAAGAGCTGCGTCCAGCACTGCCCGCCAGGCTTCGCTCCCCAAGTCCTCAACACGCACTACAGCACCGAGAACGATGTGGAGACCATCCGCGCCAGCGTCTGCGCCCCCTGCCACACCTCGTGTGCCACATGCCGGGGGCCAGCCCCCACAGACTGCCTCACTTGCCCCAGCCACGCCTTCCTGGACCCTGTGGAGCAGATGTGCTCCCGGCAAGGCCAGAGCAGCCGCGAGTCGCCGAAGCAGCCGCCGCCCCTGACCCGGCCACCTCCGGAGGTGGAGGTGGAGCCACGGCCTCGGGCAGGGCTGCTGCCCTCACACCTGCCTGAGGTGGTGGCCGGGCTCAGCTGCGCCTTCATTGTCCTGGTCTTCATCACTGTCTTCCTGGTCCTACAGCTGCGCTCAGGCTTCAGCTTCCGGGGGGTGAAGGTGTACACCATGGACCGCGGCCTCATCTCCTACAAGGGGCTGCCCCCCGAGGCCTGGCAGGAGTGCCCCTCAGACTCTGAGGAGGACGAGGGCCGGGGCGAGAGGACCACCTTTATCAGAGACCAGAGCATCCTCTGACGAGTGCCCACCGCTGCCCCTTCAAGCCCGTCTCCTCCTTGGGCACTTTTTAATTCACCAAAGTATTTTTTTATCTTGGGACTGGGCTTGGACCCCAGCTAGGAGGCACGAGGGGCAGAGACAGCTTCCCACCCTACCTTTGGGCCTCCTGGCTTCCTGAGGGGGGGCCCCAGAACCAGCTGGGGGCAGGGGAGGGCCTCGCCCCACCCCTAGCACCCCCTCTGTGAGGAAAGGAGTGAAACCTTAGGGCAGCTCTCCAAGGTTGTCCAGTCCTCAGCCAGAGTACCCTGCGGAGTAAAGAGGGGAAGCCCTTCTCTCGGGATTCCTGACCCGGTTGCAGCTCTGGCTTCTTCCCTGTCCCTCTAAAGCAATAACGGTCCCCATCCAGGCAGCAGGGAGGCTGACCAAGGGGCAGGTGATGGAGGAGGCCACCTCTTCAAGGGCTTGTGCATCCCCGACAGCGCCCCCACCTCCGATGCGCCTCAGGCAGAAGCGGTGATGGAAGGAAGGGACCAAGGCGAGGCAGGTGCTTCCAGGGTGTGTGTGTGCACGCGTGTGTGTCCCTTTGCTCACCACAGCTGGCGGCCCCCTGAGCGAGGCTGGCCCCGCCAAGCCCCACGCTGGCGTCCTGACCACCCTCCCCTCCCGCCGGGGCCCAAGTCCCTGTTTTCTGAGCCCGGGGCTGCCTGGGCTGTTGGCACTCACGGCCTCGGAGCCCCTGGGTGGGTGGTGGGGAGGGACGGTGGCCCATCCGGCCTCTCCCGCCTCCCACCCGATGCTGCTTTCCCCTGTGGGGATCTCAGGGGCTGTTTGAGGATATATTTTCACTCTGTGATTACTTCACTTTAGATGCTGATTTTTTTTTTTTTTTGTATTTTTAATGGGGGTAGCCCCTGGACCACCCACCTTCCCACACCCACTTTCCACCCTGCTGTTCCCCTGGCTGCCCTGGCCCTGAGGTGTGGGGGCTGCAGCATGTGGCTGGGGAGAGAGAGGTAGCTGAGCCCCAAGTCCTGAGGAGGCTGGCCAGGGGCGCCCTTGGGAGATTGCAGTGGGAGGGGCGGCTGTTGTCCTTGTTCCAGATGGGGCTGGTCGTGCCAAGGGCTCATGGGTCACTGGTTCTCCAAGTGCCGGGGTGGGCAGGCGGTGGCACCGTGCCCCCTCCAACACTGTGCCCTGGCGGAGAAAGCACTGGCCTGGCCTGCCCCCCGCAAGTTCCGCTCTTCTGACGTGCCTTTTGCACCCCTCCCAGTAGGACAATCAGTCCCCTTCTGTTTGGGAGCCCCCTTCTTTCTCTCCCCAGCCCCTCCTGGCACCCAGCCACTTGCCCAGGGGTGCCCCCTCCCCGCCCCCTTGTGGCCAGCCCGGCGGGTTTTGTAAGATACTGGGTTGGTGCACAGTGATTTTTTTTTTCCTTGTAATTTAAACAGGCCCAGCATTGTTGGTTCTATTTAATGGACACGAGATAATGTTAGAGGTTTTAAAGTGATTAAACGTGCAGACTATGCAAACCAGACTTGGTCTCCAGTGTGGTGGTACTGTTCTTCCCTGGTCCCTGGGGCTGCATCCGGGGGGGCGGGGGCGGGGGTGGGGTGGGGACTAGATAACCCTGAGTGATGTCTACCTGCCTCGAGATGGGCCCAAGTCAGGACTGCAAAGTCTGTCTGCTGAGGGGTTCCTCTCAAGGGTGTCCAACCCGCTGCCCATGGGCCGCAGGCGGCCCAGGATGACTATGAACACGGCCCAACACAAAATCGTAAATGTACTTAAAACTCTTTTTTGGTCATCAGTTTTCGTTAACGTTTGTGTGTTTAATGTGCGGCTTCAGACCACTCTTCTTCCAGTGTAGCCCAGAGACGCCAGAAGGTTGGACAGCTCTGCTTCAGGGAGCTGCTGGAGATGAGCCCCAGGGGGTGGGTCAAGTGGGGCACTTCCACCCCCACAGGCCTGGTCTCCAGCAAGGTGGACAGTAACAGCCTGTGTCCCCGTTGCTCAGGGTCCCCCTTGGCTGAAGGAAGTGGCCTGGCCACCAGGTGCAGGGCTGAGGCCCACGGCGGGGCCAGGAAGACCAGGGTGCTCTTGCTGGGGAGAGCCCGAGCCCCAGCTCAGCCAACTACCTCTCCACTCCCCGACCCCACCCTTCAGGTCTCCCTGGGACTGAAGCCCCCCGCCTGGGCTAGGCAGGGGTGGCTGTCCGCCAGGACCAGTGTGTGAGAAGCCGGCCCCTCCTAGGTAGATTGACTTGGAAGTTTTATTGAAATGGAGCCTGGCCCTGGAGTTCTCCTCCGGGAGCCCCTGGGGTGCCGAGGACCTGGTCTACGCTCTCTTTCGCTCTTCTGGGGTCACTGGGCTACTGCTAGGACTGCCCACCTGCCACCAGATCCCCAGGCTCAGAGGCCCAGCGCCTGCCTGCAGCCTCTCCCTGTGCTTCCCCCTCCAGAAGGCACCCTGGGGCCGCTCCCTGTCCCCACCCCAGGCCCTAGGGAGTGCTTGCCCAGGCTGCCCTCTGCAGGGCCATTCTTCCCCGGCCCCTCCTCCCTTCCGTTTCCGTGGCTGTGTGGCTGTGGCTGGGCAGGGGGGCCGGCAGGCTTGGGGGCTACCGCCCGCCCCTTCCCCTCAACGGCCCGCCCCAGGGCCTGAGCTAACTGAAACCGTGGGAGGAGGAAGCACCGAATCAGGAACTGGCCATTTGGCTGGGCCTAAGTCGGTCCTCTGCGGGCCCCTGGAACAGCTGCCAGAGTGGTGAGTCCGAACTCCTGCCCGAGGCCCAGGAGGCCGAGGGCAGTGAGCGGTGACCAGAGAGCAGGGGCTGGGGCCCAAAAGGCGCACACCGGGCCGTGGAACAGGGTGGGGCAGGGGTGGCCGCAGGGGCAGGGCCCAGGCTGGGGCTGCCTGGGGCCCAGGCTGGGGTACCCCTGGGATGGGTGCTGGGTGGAAGGGAGGAGACTCTCAGTGGTTCTGTTCCAGGACTGGGAAGGGATCCCTGGCGCCAGGCCTTTGCCTGAGACACAGGAAGCAGAGTCAGCCCCTGGCAGGGTGGTGTTTTGCACCTGAGGCGGCATTTCTGCAGGACTGGCCCCAGCCCCGCTCAGTCTGCAGCTTCTCTCGGTCCTCAGCCCCCAGCCTCCGTGCCCTAGTCCTCTGGCTGCAGCAGCAGCTGCCTCCCCCACCTGCGGCCTCTCCTTTCTCTGTCCCCAGGACAGCACTATGGGCTTCTCTTCGGAGCTGTGCAGCTCCCAGGGCCACGGGGCAGTGCAGCAAATGCAGGAGGCTGAGCTCCGGCTGCTGGAGGGCATGAGGAAGTGGATGGCCCAGCGGGTCAAGAGTGATCGGGAGTACGCAGGGCTGCTGCATCACATGTCCCTGCAGGACAGCGGGGCCCAGAGCCGGGGCGGCCTCGACAGCCCCATCAGCCAGGTGGGGTTCAGTGGGGTCTTAGGCCTCCTCACCCCAAGAATTCCTGGGGGTTCCAGGGATATCTGTCTGTCCCATCTTTCCAGAAGACCCCTGGGGAGGGCTAGAGCTCGGGCAGTCCCAGTTCCGGAGCTCCCTTGCCCTGTCTCACGCATCCCATGCTGCAGTCCTGGGCAGAGATCACCAGCCAGACGGAGGGCCTGAGCCGGTTGCTGAGGCAGCACGCGGAAGACCTGAACTCCGGGCCCCTGAGCAAGCTAAGCCTGCTTATTGGGGTGCGGCAGCAGCTGCGCAAGACCTACAGCGAGCAGTGGCAGCAACTGCAGCAGGAGCTAACCAAGGTGGGTGGGCAGGCGGGCATCCAGGGCCTTCACCTGGCCACTTCTACCTACGCTTTGCGCTAAGAGGGCTGGTTTTGTACAAGAGCCCCTTGATTCACAGGAAAGTGGAAGTCCTGACCGCAGGCCTGCCCCTGCAGCTTCCTTTCCTACCTTCCTGGGCTGGCCTACAGCAGGACCTCCCTGTGCATTTTCTGTCACCCTACTGCGTGCCTGGGCAAAGCTCTCGGAGTACAAGGATGAGTGGCCCATCCATTGCCAGGGGAGCACAGATCCACAACGCACAGCCTGCAGGGCACCAGCTGGCTCTGGGAGCTGAGAGGCAGTGGAACGAGGGCCAGTCTGTCTGCTTGTGGCCCAGGTGGGCTCCCCCCCAGGGTCCCAGAGACACCGCAAGGCAGCAGGGGGGGGCCCCAACACAGAGGTTAAAAACTGGAGCTGCAAAGTCAGCCTGTCTGCGTTTGAATCCTGCCCAGCTCCTCGGTTTAGAGGCTGTGTGATTGGAGCTATTTATCTGAGTGGTCCAGCCTTCTAACTCAGCAATTTTTAACCAGCGTGTTGCAAGAACTTTTGAATGTTTAGTCACGGACAGTGATCTCTTTTCCCTTAGATTTTCAAAGAAAAAAATGGCAACAGCCAACACAACAATAGCTGTTGGTGTGAATACCCTTTTCTGAACCATAAATATATAGGTCATATAATAGAGTTACATCTTATTGGCCGCACCACATAATAAGATGGCATCTGATTGGTTAGTTCTTGGTATCAGAAATGCATACAAGTATAGGCACCTGATTTTTTAAAAAGTCACTGGAGTAAAAAGGGTAGGTAATTACTTTTTTGTTGTTAATTAGTCAAAATTATACCTTTTTTTTTTTTTGGCTGATCAACAAAAAATATTTTTTGGTGTGCTGCAGAATTTTAGTAATTAGTGCCAGGAGAGGAAAAAGGTCGAAAATCGCTGTTCTAATTCAGTGTGTTGGTTGGCCCCCTGCACCCCCACTTCCACCAGAGCAAAACCTGGCCTTGCGCAGACCTACAGCGGCCCCTGGTGGCCAATGTGTATCCACACGGCTCTCTGCCCAGAACCTTCTCTAAACACAGGGCGAGCAAGCCTCTTGTCACAGGTGCTTTTACTGGCACACAGCCACACCCATTTGTTCTCAAGTTACCTATGGTTGCTATAGAGCTGCCATGGCAGAGCTGAGTAATTGGGACAGAGCTGTACGACTGATATGCCTAAAATGTTTACCAGTTGGCCCTTGAAGGAAAAAGCTCCTCTATAGCCTCTACGTTGAGCTCAGTTACAGATGAGGAAACTGAGGTTCAGAGAAGAGGGATGCAACTGGCCCAAGAGTATCCCAGTACCTAAACGGGGGGCTTGGGATGCGAACTCTGGTCTTGATTGTCTGTTGTCCCTGCCACCAGGAACATCATTCGTAGGACTCAGCACCAAATGATGTGGGGCCCTTGTGAAAGAATTAGTGAGAATCTCAAGGTGGCATCAACAGAGCATTATACCAAACACAGAGGCCTTCTAAGTGTGGAGCTCTGTGCTCCTGCAGCTGGGCCCTGCCTGCTGACAGGCCCCCCTCGGGGCCCAGGAGGGGCAGCTGCAGCCTCCCCCAGACCCCAGGGGCTTGTCCTCAGTCCAGCTTCTCTGACCCCAGAGGTCAGGCCCTTCCTGGAGGATGGACTTAGGTGTGCGGCCCTGAGGACCTGCTGACCCACACTGCCTCTCCTCTCTCCCCAGACCCACAGCCAGGACATCGAGAAGCTGAAGAGCCAGTACCGATCCCTGGTGCGGGACAGCGCCCAGGCCAGGCGCAAATACCAGGAGGCCGGCAAAGGTGCGTGCCTTCCCTCTAACCTGTCCGCAGGTGCCCAGGGTGGGGTGCGGGGGGCCGCCCAGGCCTCTGTACTGTCACCCACCCCTCCCCTTCCCTTAACCTGGCAGACAAGGACCGTGACAGGGCCAAGGATAAGTATGTGCGCACCCTGTGGAAGCTCTTTGCTCACCATAACCGCTACGTGCTTGGCGTGCGGGCCGCGCAGCTGCACCACCAGCACCACCACCAGCTCATGCTGCCCGGCCTGCTCCAGTCGCTGCAGGACCTGCACCAGGAGATGGCGCGCATCCTGTGAGCCCACGGCCCCGCCCGCCCCGCCACAGCCCCATCGCCCTGCCACTGCGCCCAGAAAAGTCAGTCCTTAGAAGGGATAGTCGTAGAGAATGTATGAGAACGGGCCCTGAGCCAAGGATTGGAGCCAGCCCGTTTATATCTGAATTACATTATTTGGGGGCCCTTTTTTGCAGGGGTTTATTGTAGTTATTGAGCGCTGTCCTAGGCTCTGGGATACAGCAGAGAAAAAGGCAGATAAAAATATCTGTCCTCTAAGATCGTTCATGTCAGGGGAGAGAGTCAGTAAGTGAAATAAGAAAGCCCACTAGAGGTGATAAGTGCTATGGAGAAAACTAAAACGAAAAGGGGATTGGGGGGGTGCAGCCTTCAACAGAGCATCTGAAAAAGCCTCGGAGGTGCAGGCCTGAACCAGAGGATACTGGGAGAAAGCCAGAGCAGCCGTGCAAAGGCCCTTGAGGCAAGAGAATGCCTGAAATCAGGCAAAGCCAGGACGCCGGTGTAGCCTGTGCAGAGTCAGGGGAGGGCCGGGTCAGCCATGAGGCGGGAGGCCAGGCTTGGGGACTGCTGGACTGTAGAGGGCCCAGCAGGCCCTTGTGCGGACTTTGGCTGTGTTGAGACTAGACCTCAGGGGACAAGGACAAGGGCAGGGAGGACCAGACAGGAGGACAGGAGGCTACATTAATAACTCAGACCACAGCCCGTAGCCACTTAGACCCACGGAGGAGAGATGTGGTTGGGTCCAGGATGTGTTTTGAAAGCAGAGCCAGTGGGATTTCTTCATGGCCTGGAAGTGGGGTATGAAACGGAGGAGTCAAGGGTGACTCCCAGGGTTGAGAAGGCTATGGGAGAAGCGGGCTCAGGAAACAAGAAAAGTGATTCATTTTTCAACATGTGGTGTCCAACAAGAGGTTTCGAGTACGTAGATGAATACTTGAGAATGGCGCTCTGGGGTGGTGCTGGGACGGAAGATCCGCGTGTGGGGGTTACAGCGCATCGATGGCTTACGCCTGCGTCGGGCCGGCTGTCCAGGGCAGGCAGGCGTGTAGCTCACATTTAACCAGCACACAGTGTGTAACACTGTGCTCATCTATCTCACTGGGCCCTCAATGCGACTCCCAGCACCCCCATTGCACGCAGCAGGAAGTGAGGGTTGGGAGCTGGTCACTAATTTGCTTGTTGGTCATTTGGCTGGTAAATGAGGAAGTGGGGCTCAGTCCCATGGCCGACTCCCAACTCACAGTCAGGGGCCCCAAGCTTCCCAGCCGTGCCCGGGCCTGAGGCCCCGCTGACCCGGGGTCCCGTCTGCGGGTAGGAAGGAGATCCTGCAGGAATACCTGGAGATTAGCAGCCTGGTGCAGGACGAGGTGGCGGCCATTCACCGGGAGATGGCTGCAGCCGTTGCCCGCATCCAGCCTGAGGCCGAGTACCAGGGCTTCCTGCGACAGTATGGGTAAGCCCCTCCTTGCCCCTGCTGGGCGCCAGGGCTGCTCGCCTGTTCCCTGACGGGGCACTGTCCCCCCACAGGTCCACACCAGATATTCCACCCTGTGTCACGTTTGATGAGTCGCTGCTTGAGGACAGCGAAGCCCTGGAGCCCGGAGAGCTGCAGTTGAATGAGCTGACGGTGGAGAGCGTGCAGCACACGTGCGCGCCGGGGTCGGGGTGGGCGCCGGGCATCGGCAGGGTGCCTCTGAGAGGCCAGCTCTAACGCTGCCCTTCCTTCTGGCACAGGCTCACCTCAGTGACAGATGAGCTGGCTGCGGCCACGCAGATGGTGTTAGGTCGGCAGGAAGTGGTCACTCAACTGCAGCGCGAGCTCCGAAAAGAGGAGCAGAGCATCCACCCCAGGCAGCGGTGAGTGGGTCCCACCGATAGCGGCCTCCCACCTGCCCTCCCCACTGCTGGTTGCCAGCTGCAGGCTGAGCCCTCTCTCTCCCCCTCACCCGCCTGCCTGCAGGGTTTACCTGCTCAGCAAGAGGCAGGTGTTGCAGGAGGAGCTGCAGGGGCTGCAGGTGGCGCTGTGCAGCCAGGCCAAGCTGCAGGCCCAGCAGGACCTGCTGCAGGACAAGCTGGAGAGGCTGGGCCCCGGCGAGCCCCCACCGGTGCCGCTCCTGCAGGACGACCGCCACTCCACCTCGTCCTCGGTGAGTGCCCCACCGCCCACTGCGGCCACCCTGCAGGCGGGCCCAGGCCGCGCTCCTCACTCTCACCCTCCGCCTCCCAAGCCTGGCCACCTGCTGACGTCTGTCCCTGGCCTCAGGAGCATGAGCGGGAAGGGGGAAGGACGCCCACCCTGGAGATCCTTAAGAGCCACATCTCGGGAATCTTTCGCCCCAAGTTCTCGGTGAGTGGAGCCGAGCCAGGCCCACACCTCTGCCTCTTCTCCAAGTGGTGGGCCAGTGCAGGGGTCTCAGAAATGGGCCCCCTGGGTCCCTCCCACCGTGGTGTCCGGGCCAGTCACTGGGTTGCCCTGGGGAGAGAAGGCTCTGCCCAGCCTGCCCTTATTGGGTATCCAGGCGCAGATGCCTCCAGATCCTGCCTCCCCGACACCCCCTCCCTGGGCCACCACACATGCAAAGGCACCTGCAGCCTTGGTCACCCCACAGCTCTTCCTGCTCTGGGAGTGGCAGGGAGGCTGTGGCCTGGGGTGAACGGCAAAAGCTCCGTTTGGGACCAGCCGAGCCGGGCTTCCATCCCGGCTCTGCCCAGAGCGAGCCCGCTTTGGGGGCGTGCGGACGGCTCTGCCTGCCCCTCCAGGGTTTGGGAGGACTGAGGGTGTCATGCGACAGAAACCCCACTGGCCCCCAGTTGGCCTCGCGGCCTCCCCTGACAGGCGGGCTGAGTGACCCCTCTCGCTCCCCCCGCCCCTCCCCAGCTCCCCCCGCCGCTGCAGCTCGTCCCCGAGGTGCAGAAGCCTCTGCACGAGCAGCTGTGGTACCACGGGGCCATCCCACGGGCAGAGGTGGCTGAGCTGCTGACGCAGTCCGGGGACTTCCTGGTGCGGGAGAGCCAGGGCAAGCAGGAGTACGTGCTGTCGGTGCTGTGGGACGGCCAGCCCCGGCACTTCATCATCCAGTCTGCTGATGTGAGTGGGCCTGGAGCCCAGCCCTCCTGTCGTGGGGGGAGGGGGGGGCGCGGCGCCACCTTGCAAGGATCGAGGATCGCAGAGACCACCCGGTTCCAGCAACAAAGCAGGCCAAAGCCCTCAGGGCGGCTTCTCCCCTGAGGCGGGGAGCAGGCGCAGGGGGCACCCTCAGGCCGGGCCTTTCTGCAGGCCCTTCCGCCCTGCTGCTCTGCGTCCCCCCCCAGGGCTCAGGCCCCCGAGGCAGTGGAGGCTGCTCACCCCACGTGCCCCTGCCTCGCAGAACCTGTACCGGTTGGAAGGCGACGGCTTTCCCACCATCCCCTTGCTCATCGACCACCTGCTGCACTCCCAGCAGCCCCTCACCAAGAAGAGCGGTGTGGTCCTGAGCCGGGCTGTGCCCAAGGTGAGCCTGGGCCCCTCCTGTCCGCCCCGCCCCGCCCCGCCCCGCCCGCTCCGTGGGGAGCGTGGGTTCAGGCCCACAGAGTCACGGCAGGAGGGGCTTCCTACGGCCCCCGTCTCCGCACAGGGTCATCCACCTGCTAGATCTGGAGCATCAAGACCACTCCCATCCCGCAGGCTGGTGCTCACCCAGTTAGGTCCCCACCTGGTCCTCAAAGTCGTCTGATTATGATCCTGACGTGATCCAACCCCATTTTACAGACTAACAAACCGAGCCACCAAGGAATGAAAGGCGCAGCCTTGGCAGGGTGTTTTCAGTCCTTCGCAGGGCCCGGCACACCTTCCCTTCACTGACTTCTGACCCCCAAACCCTTCCTTCCCCAGGACAAGTGGGCACTGAACCACGAGGACCTGGTGTTGGGTGAGCAGATTGGGCGGGTGAGTTGAGTGCCCTGCTGGCCTCCTGGCTGCTCGCCATTCCCCTCACCCAGCTCCGCGACCAGCCCACACCCCAGCCCCACCGGAGCCCACCGCCGAGAGCTCTTCAGCCTCCCTGCCTTGGCCTGAGTCCCAGCGCATGCCCAACCCCCCTCCTGGCCACCACCATACACCACCCTCCAGGAGACAGGGAAGAGTCCCGGCCACTGGCACCCTCCGCCCGCCCCACTGGGCGCTGCCTCCTCAGGGGCCCTCGCGCGCCAGCAGTCGCACATAACAACATGCTGTGTCCACAGGACCTATAAAACACCTGCTTAGGAAGAAAGTCAGTTTCCTACCCACGACAAGTCTTTTCCAACCCGAGGGAAAGTGGCTTTTGGGTTTTCCATGTCCCTTCTCTTCGTGAACGTGGCAAGTCAGAGGGGACATCCCCTGCCTATGCCATGGGTCCTCACTCAGTTCCCAACCAGAGGGTACACCAGGGAGCTAGGATGGAACACGGAGTGGAGGGCAGGTGGGGACAAGGAGGACTGTCCCTTGACACAAGAGGACTGTGGTCCAGGGCAGAGAGTGGAAACCGAGGACTGTTTCAGGGGAACTTCGGTGAAGTGTTCAGCGGGCGCCTGCGAGTGGACAACACGCTGGTGGCGGTGAAATCCTGCCGAGAGACGCTCCCCCCTGATCTCAAGGCCAGGTTTCTGCAGGAAGCGCGGTAGGTGAAGAAGTGATGGTCACCGCTGGGGTCCCCACAGGGGGCTCCTCCGCGCATGGTGCCATGCAGAGTGCCGGATTTCCGTGGCGTCGTGTCATCCTCACAGACCCCGCACCGGGGCAGGGGGCTTATGGCTCAGTGACCCGCCTGAGGTCACACGTCCAGGCCTCCTGGCTGTAGAGGCCAAGCTTCCTTCTGCTGCCCTTTTCCCCATCGTCCCTCGGGTCCTGGGGCTGGGGAAAGATGTGCAAGTCCCCAAGCTGGGAGCCTAAGCAGCAGTGCCCTCCAGGATCCTGAAGCAGTACAGCCACCCCAACATCGTGCGTCTCATTGGCGTCTGCACCCAGAAGCAGCCCATCTACATTGTCATGGAGCTCGTGCAGGGTGAGCCCGGGGAGCCGCACTGCTGGCGTGGGGACCCAAGCCCTGCTGTGTTGGCTCAACAAGGCCTCCCCTTCGCCCACCCCCAGGAGGCGACTTCCTGACCTTCCTTCGGACGGAGGGAGCCCGCCTGCGAGTGAAGACGCTGCTGCAGATGGTGGGGGACGCGGCCGCAGGCATGGAGTACCTGGAGAGCAAGGGCTGCATCCACCGGTGAGCGAGGAGCCCCGGCCTCGTGCCGCCCAGCCCCCGGGACCCTGCCCAGGCTTGGGCTGTGCTGTCACCCAGCGCCCCTCAGCAGCAGGCCCAGTGCGCGCGCTGGGCTTAGCCTCTCCCCACGGACGGCGAGTTTTGTTCAGGGCTGTGTCTGGAGTGCCCAGCTCAGGTGGGCGACAGGTGCTGCATGGTGGATGGCTCCGCGAGCCCCTCCCCCGCCTGCTTTCCCCAGGGACCTGGCTGCTCGGAACTGCCTGGTCACAGAGAAGAATGTCCTGAAGATCAGTGACTTTGGGATGTCCCGGGAGGAGGAGGACGGGATCTACGCTGCCTCAGGGGGCCTCAGACAAGTCCCCGTGAAGTGGACGGCGCCTGAGGCTCTTAACTACGGTAACCTAACAACGTCAGGCCTCGCGTGCCAACCTGGGCCTTGTCCACTTTGGGCTGTGAGCCCGAGGCTGGACGCGCCTCCCAGACTGGTGGACGGGGTTGGCCCTCTCACGCCTCCTCGCCTCCTTGCAGGCCGCTATTCCTCCGAGAGCGATGTGTGGAGCTTTGGCATCTTGCTCTGGGAGACCTTCAGCCTGGGAGCGTCCCCCTACCCCAACCTCAGCAATCAGCAGACTCGGGAGTTCGTAGAGACAGGTAAGGCAGCCCTGCTGCACGGCAGCAGACTCAGCGCCGAGCTGTGGTCTCCGTGCCACAGGGGGACCCTTCCAGGTCCCCTCAGCTTCCACTCTTCCCACTGGGGCTGAATAAGAACAATCGGTCCTGTAGAGACCCCTGAGTAAACGCCTGTGGTGTGCCAGGCCGTCCATTACTTCACCTGCTCTTCACAACAGGGAGGGGTGGGGATTAGTGTATCCCTTTTACAGAAGGAAAGACCGAGGCTTGCGGAGGCTGTGCAGCTAGCGCACAGGAGGGTGGCGGTTAGGACCTCTGTGCGCATGGGGCTCTGGCGAGGAAGGGTGGCTCCTCGAGAACAGCGCAGCTTCAGCGGTTCCCTTGCTCACGGTGTGCCCCCAGGGCTTCGCGGGGCCCCCAGACCCCCTCCTCATGCCGGGCTGCTGTGCCTGTCCTCACAGGGGGCCGCTTGCCCTGCCCCGAGCTGTGCCCCGACGCTGTGTTCAGGCTCATGGAGCAGTGCTGGGCCTACGAGCCCGGGCAGCGGCCCAGCTTCAGCACCATCTACCAGGAGCTGCAGAGCATCCGAAAGCGGCACCGGTGAGGCTGGGCCTGCTTCTCCAGCCAGTGGCCTTTGCCGGCAAGATTGTACCTCCAGCCCAGCTCCAGCTCACCATGTGTGACGACGGCTCTTCACAATTCTGGACTCCAGCCCCCGGCACCCGCGCCGCTGGTGGGGACGCAGCTCCATGTCTGCTGCACCTCCACGCTCCTGCCAGGGCCTCCTCTCCCCGGCAGAATTAATAAACCACTTGTGCCTGTCCAGTGCTCTCAGCATGTGCACTCCTCTGGAGGGCCGGTCTTAGGAAGACTAGAGCGTCCGTGCTGCAGCCATGTGGCAGGAGAGAGGCAGTGTTCACGGGGCAGAACTGACATGGCTTGAGGGGCCTCTGGGGATATCTGGAGGCCCAGAAAGAAATAAATCCTGGCACGTGAGGCCCGAACATTGTGAGCTTAGACATGTTGGAGAGCAGCTGACACTGTGGGCGTGTGCAGCAGTCCCGTCAGATTCAGAGCAGAGGGGAGAGTCGGGGAAAGTGACAGCTTCACTCAGAGGAGAGCAGAGCGGCTGCAGAGAAGGAAATCACCTCTCAGGGAGTTTACCTCTCACACAAGCTCACCGAGCAGTGTGGTAGCAGAGCAGGGAGCTCCGTCCCCCTGAAACCTGTAACGGTATCTGACACTTTTCCCAGCAGCGACCGTGAAGGCCAAGAAGATGAGAAGTACACGCACACCGAAGAGCAGAAATAGGAAGGGGGTCTAGCGCCAAAGAACGAAACAGAACATGGAGGCAAAATGGCCATCCCTCCAGAAAGTTTAGGAAATAGTTGACATCTATGTCCAAAGACATAAAAGCCCTACAGCTTCTTTAAACAAGAGGAAACAAGTTAGTGTGTGACTCCATGGATATAGTAAGAAATCAAATCATACCTCTATCGGAAGTGCTAAAGAGCAGAAGTGAAGAACTTCTGCTTCTGGGTAGGATGTGGTCTTTCTCTGTAGGCTGCCATTCTCGTTGCAGCACGGAGGAGGAAACAACGTGACAATTTTCACTTTTAAAGAAAGGGAATGGAGCGTGTTGTGAAAGATAAGCACCAGATGAACTAAAATGTTGAGGAAGAAGGGGGCCCTACCGGCTGAAGGGAAGCTGGGCAGCTATTTGCTTCCCTGAGACATTTGCTGATTTGGGACATCGCTGGTGCTCAGAATTGTCCCAGGCAGAGAAATGACTGAGGAAAAAGGAGAAATGAACCATTTCTGCGATACGCTCTGGGCCCCATAGGAGCCCAAAATACAAGCTCAGTTTTCCTCCTGGAACATCTGCTCAGCTCTGGGAAGGGGCTGGGCTGGGAAGGCAGGTCCCACAGCCTTGTAGTATTTAGAGGGGGGACCTGAAACAAAAAAATAACTGGTCTTCCCCTCAAGATGTTGGGCCAGATCTTGGACCTGTGTGGATTGGGAGACTAAAGAGCTAACCCTAAAATCTCTGAAGAGCAGCATTGCAAGGGCTAAGAGAGACAGGAACTGACTAGGCTTTCAACCCCAAATGCAAGGAGGCCACTCCAAAGGGACAGGGACAATCCAGAGGAGGCCTGAAATTTACCAGAGCTATAACTGCCCCAACTTGCTTCATTCTGTACTTTGTTATCTCGAGGTGACTAGCTCCTCTGGGGTGGGGGGGAGGGGGGAGCAATAACAGAGTCTGAAGTCCCCACTCTTTTTTTTTACACCCAATATGCAACATGCAGATAAACATTATAAAATGTGCAAAAGAAAGAAAGAGAAAAAGAAATTGGGCCAACACACAAGAGAAAAAGTAAACAATAGAAGCAAACCCACACATGGTCCAGTTTTGGAGTTGACAGACAAGGACTTAGAAATAACTAATGGTTAGTATGTTAAATGGGAAAAAGGATGGACAAAATAGATGTAAATATACAGAATTTCAACAGGTTTGGAATCCACTTTACAAGAATCAAAAGAGCAGGTAGAGCTGGAAAAATACCGCCTCTGAAATTCGTGGGATAGGTTTCATAAAATTTCATAGAACTAAAGGATAAAGTCAAAATTATAGAGACTGGACACATTAGAAAACAAAATTAGTGAATTTGAAGATAGATCAATAGACGGTATCTAAACTGAGTTGAGAGAGAGGAAAAAAAGAAAAGAATGGAGGAAAACAACCCAGCTTGGGACACACATGGAACTCCAATATATGAGTCATGGAAGTTCCACGAGGGGAGAGAAGTTAGGACCAGAATAAACGGAAAAGGACTCAAACATCTACACAGCAATAAGAAAGAACTGACCCCTGATACACACGCCAACACTGATGACTCTCGAAGGCATGTTAAGTCAGATGTGAAGGCGTGCATGCATTTGATCCCAGTTGATGAGGTTCAAGAACAGGCAATACTAAGCTATAGAGAAGTGAAGACGGTGGTCCCATCTGAGGGGTACTGACGGGAGGGGGCATGAGAGGAGGGCAGCAGCCCTGCCCTGGGCTTCCTGTCGCCTCTAGATGGGCCACATGGGCAATGCTTGAGCAGGCTCTTGAGCTGGCTGACTTGCGTCTTGACAGTCTTCAAAGAACGTCCTACAAATTACTCATGGAGGACACTACTCCGGGGGAGAAGCAGCCTGGAGTGGAGCCTCCCCATCCTGTGGAGACTGCCCAAGGCCGCTGTTCATCCAGCCATCCCTGCCGTGCAGCCCCAGGCCATACAACTGTTTGGAGGTGGCTCCTTAGCCACAGAGGGACCCACCCCCATATCTCCTGCCTGTCATCTGGTCCCTTTATTTTTATTTTTTAAAAATATTTTCTTCATTTATTTTTAGAGAGAAAGAGAGGGAGAGAAACATCTGTATGTGGTTGCCTCTTGTGCACCCCCTCCTGGAGACATGGCCTGCAACGCAGGCATGGGCCCTAGACTGGGAATTGAACCGGCGACCTTGTGGTTCACAGGCCGGCACTCAATCCACTGAGCCACACGAGCTAAAGGCATCATCTGGTCTCTTAGATTCGGTGTCATCCTATGGGACTAGGGATGCAAGAAGCTGACTCCATGCTGGTCTGAGTGATGAGTTGTCTGGATCCACTGGTGCTTGTAGTCGCCTTACTGGCTGAGTCTACCGAAGTATGGCAGGCCTGCCTAGCAGCTGCATAGTGAGTCACCGCAGTGCACTTCATGACTGCTTGACCACTTGACACGGAAAACTTTTGGAGTGATGGGAATGTTCTGTGTTTGGTCTGAGTGGTGATTATGCTTGTGTGTACATTCATCAAAACTTATCAAGCTGTGCACTTAAGACTTGTGCCATATACTCTGAGTTATATCTCTAGTGTTAAAGATTTTTATGTGTTTCTTCTTAGGGAGAGGAGAAAGGAGGGAGGGAGGGAAAGAAACATCGATCAGTTTCCTCTCGCATGCCCCCTAACCAGGGACCTGGCCTGCATCCCAGGCACGTGCCCTGACTGGGAATCAAACCAGAGACCTTTCAGCACACAGGACAGTGCCCAACCTACTGAGCCACGCCAGTCAGGGCTCTATCTCAATATTTAAAAAAAGAACTAGGAGAGAACAAACAACAGCTCTAGAACATTAAGACTGTGCTTGCCAAAATTCAAGAGAAGGGTTGGAAGATATGTTTCTCAGAACACAGGCAAAAGACAAAGCGACAAAGCCCAGTCTAGGTCTACCACCTTAGTGACAGGCATTCCAGTTAGTAAATAAACCTAGAGAAACGTTCCCGATGGGGATCCAAGAAACAGGAGTTAAAACAATGAGGTGCCATGTTAAATCTGGTTAATCAACAAAAAAGAATATTTAAATAATATTCAACAGTTTGTAATTGAGCCACAGTACGCGGGCCATTACCGGTCATTATCAGTTCTTATTTTTTGCGCAGGCAGCCGCACTACTGTGGATTTGTCTTAAGGTAATTTAGAAAGAAGATAAATGTAGAGTTAATGGAGATATTCATTGCAGTATGGTTTATTATACTTCAAAATTACAAAAACGCAGACGCCCGATAAAAAGAGAATATCCGAGGCAATTATGTGCTGCCTTAATCCTTGGGTGGCAAGCAGGGAAGGGATGGTAATGCATACACCGCACCGACAGGGGGCAGCACCCCTCTGCCTGAGAACAGAGCTGCATTAAAGTAGGGATCCCTAGAGCAGAGCAGGGCAGGCGCGGTGCAACGGGGGAGGGATGTTTCCATTACGGTGCTTTTGATTACGTGCTTACTCTAGTAAGATTCAGACCAAATAAAGTCTCGCTCTCCTATTCGGAGGCCCGCAGCGCACCCAGCCCAGGCGGACTGCGGCTGCGCACTGCGGGTCCGGTCCCAGGCGCGGGGAGCGCCGGAGAGGCGCGAGACCCGGCGGGAGCCGGGCGGGGCCGTGTGGGGTCGGGGGGAGAGGGCGGGGCCACGGCGGTGCGGTTGTCCCCGCCCCGCACGCCGCTCGCCGGCGGCCGCTAGAGGAGGGGACAGCGCGGGCGGGCCGGCGGGCGCATTGGAGCGCGCCGGCGGCCCTGGCCCCGCGGGAGCGCGGCTGCGGCGCGCGGAGCAGGGGCGACGGGTAGGCGGACGGCCGTCTTCTTTGCGTCGCTGCCTCACGCGGGCCGCCGCTCCGGGGATGTGAGGGGCGCCGCGAGGCCGGCGGGCCCCGGAGTGGCGCGAGGCGGGCCGCAGACGGTAACGCGCCGGGCAGACAAGGGGGAGGGCACGGCTATCCCGCCGCGGCCGGGCTTGGGCAGCAGGAGCGCTAGCGGTGCCTCCGGATCCGAAGCGGCCCGTGCTCCCGCACCGGGTAGTTGTCGCGGTCCTGGGACCCGCGGAGTCGGTGCGGAGGAGGGGCGAGCCGGGAGGGGCTTTCCAGCGGGCGGCCGGCCGGCCGGCCGAGGTCCTGGCGCAGGTGCCTGCCTCCTGGAGCATCCCACCGTGTCTTCCCCAGCTCCACCCACTTTGGCCTGGAACCAGCCTTCAAGGGCTAAAAATATTGCCCGGAGGCTTCTGAGCGGAATTAGATCGCCCTAAGTAGGGCACAAGGCACAGGCGACAGAGCTTTTGGGCCCCCGGCCGGAGGGAGACTCAGAGCAGATCTACCCTCACGCTTGCTTGCAGCTGGAGGCCTCCCTCCGGGGAACAGGCAAGGGTGGGGGCCTGCGGGCGGGGGCAGG